TATATATATATTAAGCACTAATATTCTACTTCAAAGTTACCAATGCGGCCCAATGAAACCACGAGTACTTTTTTGCCTCTAGGGCTGGAATCTAGAAACCACACATGCTATCACTATAGCAAGTAGGAGGGAAGCATAAGCCTTTCACTTTAAAATGTAAGACGAAGGAAAAAATATTACATCAGTTTTACACAGATAGAATTAACGTGTGTAGTCAATGAAATCACTCCACGATACCCCGCGCGATAGACGAAAAAAAACGACGCAGTAACACGGGGAATATTCCCCCCTGTGTTATTCATGTGTTATTAATGTGTTATTGTGTTATTATAACACCAAAAATATTCTCAGAATACAATAACACATGAATAACACATAATAACACCTGAATAATATGGGGAATATTCTCAATAGAGAAAAAACGGCGCAAAATATTCTCTGTATTATTAAACCGTTTTTTTTTCTCTATCACGCGGAGTGTCATGATTTTATTTTATTGACTATTTGTTTGTTTTCTGAGAGCCCATCCGATGGGAGGGATACTTCCGAGGCCACTGCCAATGCCATTGAAGCGGATGCCCCTACTGAGACGCACTGGAGGAATGAGACAACTGGAAGCGGAAGTTTCGGTTGGTGGTGTACGGTCGGTTTGATTTTGATTGCAACAAAATGGGCCTCTGCTGCTATGCTTCAGTTTTGGGGTTGAATGAGATGGCTGAGGAGGTCATTGGGCGTCAATGTCCAGTGTTGCAGGAGGAAGAACATCCAGAGGCTCAAGAAGAGCATTTCCTGAGTGCTATGGAGCAATCAAGCTTGATGGATAAGGAAGGAATCATGGTTTCCATCTCTAGGTTTGTGGCTTTTTGCAGTTTCTAATGAATTCCTTGAAAGGTTCTGCGCGCTACGATTTCTTGGATTTTATGCATATAGAAACAAATTAAAAAAAAATACATTTGAAATAATTTTTGAATAATAGATTTGATGTAAAATAGAATAGATATGGTTAATTTTATTGTATTTACTATGCAACGATTTAGATTACTTTGCCTCTTTTTGGAATCACACAAAACTAAAATGCTTTTCTCAGCTCTAGATTTTATGCCTCGAGCAATTGAACTTTCAAATTTAATCTCATTTTCACCATCATCATTAACCATATCTGAGCTATATGTCTACCATCTGCTGTCGTTTGCATTACAATCTCTTATTCAGGTTCTAACTGTTGCAAGCTCTTCTTCATGTGAGAAAAATCAAAGGTTGATTTTCTTAGGTTAATTTTTTCTTGCATTCAAGGAGATGTTCCTTGTGAAGGAACAAACATCTTGGATTTTTTTTTTTAATTTAATTTTTTGTTGAAGGCAACGACAAACAAAAGTTTAAAATCCTAATTCTCTTTCTCAATTGACAACTTTTCTCCACCCCACTCCTCATTCAAGGAGATGTTTCTTGCGAAGGAACAAACATCTTGGATTTTATTTTATTTTATTTTTTGTTGAAGGAAATGACAAACAAAAGTTTAAAATCCTAATTCTCTTTCTCAATTGACAAATTTTCTTATCCCTCTCCTTCCCAAGAAATTCTTTCTTTAGAATTATCTGTTTGCTCATACTAAATTGGGCTATATTGCTCATTTTGAATCTAGGATTCAAGGGGCAAGCTGCCTTTCATCTTGGATGAAGGTATCGTAATATCTTGTGCTGGAAAATTCGTGATAGCAAAGTGATAATTGAACATGTTAGCATTGCATAAAGATCCAACAAACACACAAATAAGAGAACAATTGAAAGAGGAAAATCACGGGGTTTAGCCCTGTTAAAGTAATCCACTATGTGTTTGTAATTAAAATGCTACGCCCTTTTTTCACGACAAGGAGAAACAGGGTTACAATCTTATATAAAAAATTACATTTGTCTTTATAAAATACAAAGAAAATACAAGTGTTAAACACAATAGTCGTATTTTAACTACAATGGTTGTAAGTTGTGGTCGACGATGACAGTCGGTGACCGCTGACAGTGGTCCATGGGCGATGGTCGATATTCGTTAGCGCCTTGGTAGCTACAAAGGTCAATGGATTCTTGCAAGGTCTTCTTTCGAAAACAAACGATGAATTTCACTTCTTTCCCTTTTCTTCCCCTCTTCCAAGTGAAGAAAGATAGATTCTTTAGCATTTGAGGAGGGGCATTTTGATTTTTTAGCGCATAACTTTCTTAGCCATTTGATTGTACGGTCGTGCTGATCCCTCTTAATCATAAAAGATTTTTTAAGGATTTAGGTTTCGTAATGACATTAACATTTAACGATCTTTGGTTTGTTGGATTCTTCTCATCGAGATGCTCGGTTTGACTATAAGTATGTCGAACATTCAATTGATGATCTGAAACTTCTAATTATGCTTCAACGACTTGATCTGGGCTTGATTGGACCCAGATTGAATTAATTTTGATGTCATGGGGTTTGTCTTGTTGAGACAATCAGTTTGGCTATAAATTTTGTTGAAATTGAGGCTCATATGATCTTGAATTTAAATTTGGAAGATCTTTTACAAAAAAAAATGCATTGAGATTCGTGCTTGATAAAAATTTGTTGATCACACACCAATCTTGTAAAAGTATTCCTTTTGAATTACAAAATCTATTAAATCTATTTTCTTCCTTTCCAATTAGGATCCTAAGAATGCTAATAATCAATCTTGGCTATAGATAGACACTCCTTTTCAAAATATCTTTAGTGTGTTTCTTTTTATTTATGTTTTTTGAATTTTAACCCTATTTGTCTCCTTTAAAGATCTAACAATGGTTAATTGTTTTCTTAAGTGTCCCTCAAATTGGCTTACCCATGAAACAAAATTAAGCTTTAGCTCTATGCGTCTAAATCCTTATTTCTTTATTGGAAACTGATATCATTTACCTGTAGCGTGAATACCAATAATAGTTATATTTTTATGTGATTTTAAAACTTAATTTTTTCTCTTTAAAACTGATATCATTGGCATAATCCTTATTTCTTTATTGGAAACTGATATCAATTAGGATCCTAAGAATGCTAATAATCAATCTTAGCTCCCGTTTGTTCTCTTTGAAAATTGGATCATGTTAATATTAAAGCGATGAGTTCCTATGGCATGGGGTAGAGAATTTATGAAAATGATGAAGTCCCACTAGAGAATCAAGAGATCAATTGAAGGAGGTTCAAATCGATCAAGGTAGCATTCTAGACTGGTTCATGAAGTTTTGATTATCATCACCATCATCATTTGAGCTTAACTATTCATGTTCTATTTTGTGAATCTTCCTCGTCTATCTATTTTTCTGAGTGTTGTCTTGTGTAACTTGTTTTGTTCAAATCCTCTTTCACAATTTTTACCAATTTTACTTTTAGTTCACACTTTTTTCCTTATAAACTTACGATATTAATTTATCTATTCATCTTAAAATTGTATTTTTAATATGGGGCAATGGCATACATAGCACAAAATTCTTAGATGTATTTACATATCTCCCACCTAAACTTTCATATTTTGCACACATAGCACTCTGCCTTTAATATCACATAAAAATAGAACTATTACCACTTTTTAAAAGTGAAATACACCCTTCCATATATAGATTCAAAGTATTGAAGTGCTATGTATGTAAATATGAACGTGTCGAAATCACCCAAGTCTATTTTTCTTACCTTAAAGTTAATAAATGTTCTTTTAGCCATCCCTCCAATATTATCATTCCATAATCCATTTTTGTTTTGTCACAAATTTATCTTATATTCTTAATATTTTCTTTCCTTCGTGCTCAACTTGGCTATTAGTCAATTTTTTATTACCAACACTTGGAGCCATATAACATGGTCAACCTAAATGTAGCCGACCCCACGTAGTGGAATTAAGACTTTGTTGTTGTATATTTTTCTTTCAATGATATGGGGATTAAATCTGGTAGGATATCATCCAAACCTCTTGTAGTCATTATATAGGCATTAGATAATAGAAATTTTGAGAGATCACATGCATTGAAGTTTTAACAATTCAATTTATCTTTGGAAGTCGATGAAGTTGTTGATTCTTAAATTACACTATAAAGATCAAAGAGGTTATCAACAAGGCTCTATAAAAATTGTGGAATTGCCAATTGAACATCATATTAGGGATATCAAGACTTTGGATGTTCGATTGTTGGATCCAATTTCAAATTACTATAGGATAAAGATGCCTTTAAATTTATATATATATATATATATATATATATATATTTTTCTTGGATAGGTTTGTATTTTAATTTAAATTTAGTTTAGATAAATCCTATTAGACTTATTTTGTCATTATGAAAATATCCTATTGATTATTATAGATATTATTCTCTTATTTAGGGAGACTATGTAGGAGTGTATTAGATTAATCCATGATGCAATTTTTCAGAATTAAGCTTAAATCCTGCAGAAAACTTAGTTGAAAAAAAAAGAAATACTCTTATTTTATTTTCTTTTTCTTCTTCTTCTATTCCTCTTAAAATTGACATTGCTGGGTTTAAGTCCTGGATATGAAAAGTGAATGGTTACGTTTGGTAGTCAGCAACTAGCGTGAAAATTTTTTCAAAAAATTATGATATGAATCTTTTAAATTATTATGCCAATGCTAGCATGCCCACTGAAAGCGACGTGTTGTATGACCTGAATACAGTAAAAAGTATATAAGGGTCCTTGCATCCGCTCCCGGGAGTAAATGTTAAATAAGCAAGGGTTTTTACACTAGATGGATGTTGGCAAAAATTTAGTTCATAAAAATAGTATTTGGATGCTCTCACAAATAAATGATTGAAATTAGTAGATATTATGATTCGTAAAAAATAAATATTTATGCATGTAAAGAACTAAATTGATTGGAGAAAAGGCTAAGTAGATAGATAGTTTTTTTTTAAAACATTGGTATTCAAGTTGGACTCATACCGAAAATGGTTTGTGTAATTAGAGATAATAATTTTAAAAACAATGTTATACAAATTAGTAGAATTGAATATAATATTTTAATTCTATAGCTTGTCGTTGATATTAAAATTCTTATGTTCTAAAAGAAAAATTTTTGGATGATCTAAAAGAATTCATACAAAAGGTACTCTTTGAAGGAATAATTTTTATTGGAGTAGATTTAAATAGACATGTTGGTAGAATAATAGAGAATTTTAAAAGTAGAGTGACAACTGAAGAAAATAAAATTGTAGTTTATTTTGCTTTAACTTATGATTTTGTTATTTCTAATCTCTTATCTAAGAAAAGAGATGCATATCATCTCTTATAAGAATAAATTTAATAAATTATAAATTAATTATTTTCTTATGAGAAAAATAGATCGTCGAGATTATAAGGATTGTAAGGTTATTTAAAATGAAATTTTAAGTAGCAAATATGGTTTTGGATTTTAGAATGAAGTATTAAAAGATTAAAAATAAAATGAAATATCATTATTTAATTAGAAGGGGCACTTAAATGTCACAAATAAAATTATTTTGTGAGTAAATTTGAAGATCTTAAAATTTGAGATATTTATTATAAAGCTAATACTGTGCTAGATAAATTAATGAGTACTATTAAGTAAGTTGCAAAAGATGTGCATGGAGAATCAAATGAAAATTTTCTTAGAAATAAAAATTGCTAGTGGTAGAATAATAATATACAAGAAAAGAAAGAAAAAAATATATAGAAATTTTGTTATAAAAATTAGTTTAAATGTAAAAGTTTAAAGTCTAAGAAAATAATATATGATGCTAAGAATTCTACTTTAATATTCTTTATAATATATTAGATATTCAAGATGGTGAAATATGTATGTATAAACCAGCCAAACAAAGACATAATAAAA